CTCCTTGGGAGCCTGCTTCTCCCTCTGCCTCTCTCTCTCTGTCTCTGTCTCTCATGAATAAATAAATAAAATCTTTAAAAAAAAAAAAAAAAAAATGGACAGAGGACCAGAACAGACATTTTTCCAAAGAAGACATACAAAAGGCCAACAGACACACAGAAAGATGCTCAACATCACTAATCCTTGGGGAAATGCAAACCAAAACCACATTATCCCTTTATAACTCTCAGAATGCCTAAAATAAAAAATACAATAAATAAATGGTGAGAATGTGGAGAAAAGGGAACCCTTGTGCACTGTTTGTGGGAATGCAAAATGGTGCTGCCACTGTGGAAAACACTATGGAGGTGCCTCAAAAAATTAAAAATAGAAATACCACATGATCCAATAATTCCACTACTGGATATTTACCCAAAGAAAACAGAAACACTAATTCAAGAAGATATATGCAACCCTGCCCCAGCTTGTTATTGTTATTTGTTGCATTATTTTCATGAAATCCATCCACATCCCCTAATCCCGTGTTAAACTTCTGCTGTTGCCCTTCAGGAAGGCACATCTTTAGGTATGCGCACAATAATCCAGTCATCACATTCTTTCAGTAAACACACCCAGCTGTAAAACTCCCCTAATTATAAACACATTGCTCTACTGTTTTCCACAATGCCCTGGGACATGAATCCTTTAGAAACTAAACCAAATCAAATTATGGCTTCTTCAAAGGAACAGTTTGTGCGGTAGGTGTTTGAAGCTACTATTCCCTCTAGTTTCCTTGTTTTTGTCTCCCCTGTTGTCTTCAGGTTTCCCTAGAGACTCCTTCTTAAATAATCTGAGCCTTGTAGTTATTTAAGTTGTAATCTCCTGTTATTATATAGGAGCCATGTTGATGTGGCAGTCAGGTGAGTGGTTGCGGAGGGATTGTTCTGCAATATCACTAGGACTCAGTGGTTTAGTGGTCTATGCTACTTGGTTATGTCCTCCAGTGCTTTTCAGCTCACCCTCTCCTTGGGTGACACAAGAGGTATAAAGTTGGCTGGAAATGGTATTTCCTTCCCCCACTTTGGTTATTTTCTGGCAAAATCCATGTTGGTTGAGTACAGGTAAAATAGATTTCCTTGAGGGCAGACCTTTGTTAAGGAGAACAGAAAGTTCTGAGCACATTTCAAAATGGTTACTTCCCTGCTCACCCCACCCTGCCCTCCAGAGCATGAGTGGATTTTTCTCTGGTCTTCAGTTTGGGAACCCGATGGGGTGACTGGTGGTAGTAAAACTAATGAAAGCATGGGGACCTTTGTAAGGCTGGGCCTTCAGGAGTTTTCATCTCTCAAGCCAGTCTTTGCTCAGTCTCTGGCAATTAGTCAATTACCCTTTAAGTATTCCTACTAGTGTGCTAGTATGTACTGCCATGAGTAGTTAGGATCAGAAGAAACCCTTATGTTCCATGATGATGCAAGTACAGTGGCTTTACCAACTTTAAATCCCATCTATTCAGTTTAACTCTTGAAAATAAAATTTAGGGCGCCTGGGTGGCTCAGTTGGTTGAGCGACTGCCTTCAGCTCAGGTCATGATCCCAGGGTTCTGGGATCGAGTCCCGCATCGGGCTCCCTGCTCCGCGGGGAGCCTGCTTCTCCCTCTTCCACTCCCCCTGCTTGTGTTCCCTCTCTCGCTGTGTCTCTCTCTGTCAAATAAATAAATAAAATCTTTAAAAAATAAAAAAATAAAATAAAATTTAAAATAAACAATATATACTTTCCAATCAAGATCTTAAATATTCACATACTTTTTCAACCTAACTTGTATGACAAAGACTTGGAAGTGTGAGTTTTATTTCTCAACATTAAACTAGTTCTAAGCATATTTACCAATAAAGTAATATGCCAACTCCTTAGCATACAGAATATGTAGGATCCTTCACAATCTGAATCTAATTTCTCTTCTACAAAACATCTTCCTAAATTCCTATTCCTTTGTTTCTGTCTTCAGTAAAGACAACTGAAGGAGAAACCAAATGAAACAGCTCATCATTTCCTCAACTTGCCATACCCTTTCTTACTATTAGGTCTCTGCAAATGCTTGTTACCTCTACTTGAATTCCCTAAATCCACACATACCTATTCCACATTTCCTTTTTCACTGAGGAAATTTCCATTCATCCTTTAAAAACAATCTCAAGGGGCACCTGGGTGGCTCAGTCGTTAAGCATCTGCCTTTGGCTAAGGTCATGATCCCAGGGTCCTGGGATCAAGCCCCACATCGGGCTCCCTGCTCAGCAAGAAGCCTGCTTCTCCCTCTCCCACTCCCCCTGCTTGTGTTCCCTCTCTTGCTGTCTCTCTCTCTCTGCAAATAAATAAATAAAATCTTTAAAAAAAAATAAAAACAATCTCAAATATCATGGAGCCATTAAAATTTTCCCTAGAGAGACTGTATCCTTTGTGTTTCCAAAACAAAAGTCAAAAACTCTTCTAAAATCTTTGTAACAATAAAAAAGGAATATATATACAATATAGGGTTTTGAAAATACAGAAAAATTTATATTATCAGTTATTTTAATCCACATCATCTGAAAACAATTTTTCAGATTTTGACATTTGTATAAGATATAAAATACAACATAAAATATTTTTTAAAATTGTCTCTATTAAAATCACAAGTGTATTAAAATCTAAGATGTGCATTTATTATTTCACTGTTGTAAAAACTGACAATGATAATTATCTTCTCTGAAGATTTTAATTACATTTTTTCTTATTGTTATTAATTTTATAATTAATTCTTGTGTGTCCACTAATAGGCAGGGGCTATGTCTTGAATTGTTTTATATCCTCTGAACATACCAGGGTTTGAATTATATATATATATATAGTAAGTGTTTAAAAGATGTTAAGATGAAACACTAAATGATACTTAGTTTTCTTTTATGGACTTTACAGAGGTGTTATTTACATATAAAATGAAATATACCAACTTTAATGAACAATTCAGAGTTTTGACAAATGTATTCAGTTATGTAACTACCAGCCACCAAAATCATCATATAACATTTGATCACCTCAAAATGTTCCCTTGGTGTCCCTCTGAAGTCAACCGACTGAGCCACCCAGGCGTCCCAACAGTTCTTTTTATTGCTTAACAGTTTTCCATTGTGGAAGTGTACCGTAACTTGCTTATCCTTTCACCAACTGATATTTGTACGTCTGTTTTGTGCTGCTATAAATAATGTAGCTATGAACATCACTGTGAAAATCTCTTTATGAACTTAGGTTTTCATTTCGCTTGGGTAAATATCCAGGAACAGAAATGCTAGATTATATGGTAAATCTAGGTTTATCTTTAAAGAAACTGCCAAACTCTTTTCTAAAGTTGGTATACTAGGGGGCATCTGGGTAGCTCAGAGGGTTAGGCGTCTGCCTTCGGCTCAGGTCATGATCCCAGGCTTCTGGGATCGAGCCCCGCATCGGGCTCCCTGCTCAGCGGGAAGCCTGCTTCTCCCCCCTCTCTCTCTGTCAAATAAATAAATCTTTAAAAATAAAATAAAAAATTTAAAAAATAGAGTTGGTATACTAGGTTGCACTCCCACCAGGAATGTATGAGATTTCAGGTGCTCTGCTTCTTGCCATCATTTGGTATTGTCATTTTTTTTTAAACTGGAGCTATTCTGTGGGTGAGTTCACTGTGGTTTAATTTGCATTTCACTGATGACTGAACATCTTTTCATATTCTCATTTGCCATCTGTATATGTCCTTTGGTGGAAATGTTTATTCAAATATTTTGCCTATTCTTTTTAATCAGATTGTCTTATTACTGAGCTATGAAAGTTCTTTATATATTCATAATATGTCCTTTATCAAATATATATTTTACAAAAGACTGTGTCTTGCTTTTTCATCTTCTTTAAAGTGTCTTTTGTAGAGCAAAAGTATTTGTCATGATGGTCATTTCAATTTTTGTATTTTCTGGTTCATATCTTTTTATGACCTATCTAGGAAATTTATCTTTATTTTTTAAACAAAGTTGTGGCTATTTTCTAAAACAGTTGCTTCTGTCACTTACCATATTCCTATTTAAGTGTTATAAAAGTGACTAATTACAAAAACCTACTAAATAAAAATCAGATAGTGAAAAATCAGACCAAATCTTTTAAAAGGAAATGTAAAGAAAAACAGATTAATACAATGTAATTCTTTTGTATTTGTTCTGCTAAAGAAAATCATTCCATTTATTTTAAAAAACCAGAGCTACTCCTATAATATATAAGATACATGACTGATGTGATTTTTATGATTTTCAATTTATCCCCTCAAGGAAAGTGGCAGATGCTACTTTTCCTTTTTCCTCATTCTGGGATACAGAAGTAATGGTAGATGAGTCATCCTGGACAATGAGGACAACATGCTAAGGATAGTAGAGTAGTAAAACTAAAGAAAGAGGAGTTTTAAACCCCAGGAGCCACCATATTTTCCCAGCACCAATTTAAACCACTGTGACAGTGGATCTTAGATGCAGCAACCATGCCCATGTTCCAATTAATAAACTAGCACCCCACTGAATGCACTTAGATGAAATACTGACTTGAAGCAATCAACATGGTACAAGACAGAGTAAACATGACAGAATTAGCTAGTACAAATTCAGAGATTCTCCAAGAGAAAAATTCATGAAGCAGTATTCTCTATAAATACTGCCCTGTCTGGATGATGCATTTAAAAACAAATAATTAAATTATTTTGGTATTCTCTAATAGATTTCAAGTGGGGTAAGTTACACGACAACATTAATAGAGTCTAACAACCACTTTCTTTTTTTTTTTTTTAAGTTTTATTTAAGTAATCTCTATACCCCATGTGGGGCTTGAACTCAGGACCCTGACCATGGTCAAGAGAGCCACACTCAGAGCTCTGACTGAGCCAGCTAGGCACCCCAACAATCACTTTCTTTAATATGGATTATTATATTTGGTAATATAATGGTAAAAGCAAAAGTATTGATGGAAGTTCTTACCATGGAAAGGTATTCATTCGTACCCTGTTCTTATAAATCAGAATTCCTCCTGACATCACTCCAATCATAATTTCATTGTTACTTTGATCCTTCAAAAAAAGAAAATGACAAATCTAAAATACTGGGCTTTTCCTGTTAAATATATATTCTAAAAATAGGATAAGTTTTTTTTAACACAATATAACATTTTCAAAGTCAGCACATAATTGCATAATATTTACAAACCTATATGGTAATTGTCACCTCATAAAAATGAAGAACCTATTTCACATCAAACTTAAATGTTGCATTATTAAAATTCATTAATCCAAAGTAAAAATGATCTCAGGATTTTCCATAGTTCATAAGTGGAACTGAGTTTTGAGATAAGGAATCAAAAGCCTTTTCATCTTGTAGAAGGAAGAGTTAATATACATTTTTCCATTTCTAAAGCTATTCTGACCCAACTACTATTTAAATATAGTGCCAAGATTGCAAACATGAACAAAACATGGAGAAGCTCAGAGTTTGGTAAAGTGTAACCTGTAATAAAACAAGACACCCAATATAATGATAAATCATATAACTAATATAATACAACAAAAACATCATGGCAGTATAGAGTAGGGAACAACTATTGGAGAGTTTGAAAGATTCCAGAGAAGAAAATTTGAACTACGCTTTGAGGAAAGGGAGAGTTTTCATGCTAACTGATCCAACTTGAATAGCTAATCTGCACTACTGACAAAATGAGAATTAAATTCTTTTCTCAGATGATAATCAACCTTGAAATAGTTTGCTACTGACTTGAAACATTCTACAGGTAAGCTAATAAAGCAATAATGCTTTTACCCCCTACCTCTTCATATGCTCAGAAGATAGAACTAATTGATGAAATTATAATTAAGATTTTAATAATTGTGTCCCTCAGAAAAAAACCCTTTAAAATGTAGTTTCAATAATTTCTACTTAAATAAAATCTTACTAAATTAACCTGTTCAATAGGGTAATACATAACAAATGGCCAAAGTAACATATCACTGTATACTGTATGGCCACACAATTTATTTAGCAATAACCACCATTATTGTACACCATTATAAGAGTCATAAATAATTTTTTAAAGAACATCAATTAGAAGTTTGGGCTAAAATGGAAGGCTTAATATACGCTCCTATTGCTCCTTCTGGTCCCAATCTCATAAAACATTGGAGAAGATACATGCAAACAACGTGTAACACTTGAAGGTATATAATCAATGGGACCAGACATTTTGAGGAATTTGTAAAGACATAATAAAGAGGATAAAATCAGATTTAAGGAAAGAAAAAATTATAGAAGACCACAGCCTAAGCTAAACACAGAAGTGAAAGTTCTATTTGACGGCAGAAAGAAAAGTATAGTCAACAGGTACAATTTCATAGACAACAAATCAAAAAAATAAAGGGAGCCCTCAAATTAGTGTCAGGATGATCAGGCAGAGAGCAGCTAAGGTAATTAGCTCCTACCAACCCTATAATCCTGCCCTGTCTGGATTGAGCTATGGGACACAGAAGTAGGTGCAGCCTATCTTAAACAGTGAGTGTGGATACTGGGGACAGAAATCAGAGTGATCTCCAGAATGGATAAAGAACTCCAAACTGAGACAGGCCAACTATAGGCATGTTTTCCCTGGCAGAATATTCCTTCCCTCTTCCACCATCACCTAAGGCAGGCCATAGCAAAGACAACATCCACAAGCAGGTGAACTAGGAATCACAAATACAAAAGGAAGTATGCAACCAAGGATCACCAAGCACTTGAGAAGAACCAATACCATTAAAGAGATATGCAAAACTCAACAAATAAATAAACCAGTCAAGCTGCTATGTTGGTAGAAAAACATGTAAAAAAACAAAAAAAGAAAGTAGACAAACCATGACAGACGATGGACTGTGAAAAACAAACTGAGGGTTCTAGAGGGGAGGAGGGTGGGGGGATGGGTTAGCCTGGTGATGGGTATTAAGGAGGGCACGTTCTGCATGGAGCACTGGGTGTTATACACAATCAGTGAATCATGGAACACTACATCAAAAACTAACGATGTAATGTATGCTGATTAACATAACAATAAAAATTTTTAAAAAATGCTGGGGGTGGTGGAACAAAAGAAGGGAAAGGGAAAGGGAAAGGGAAGGGAAGGGAAGGGAAGGAAAGGAAAGGAAAGAGAAAAAAAGAAAGAAAAAGAAAAACATGTTCAGGATATCTAGGAACTCAAATTCTTAAATTATAGCTATATCTAGATTTGAACTGGCAGTTCCCAAGGTGATGCCAGAAGTGGGCAAGATCAAAATAACAAGTGTTATGTCCTAAATAGACACAAATGCTATTCATTCCAATGTATAGGAAAATGCATGATGACCACCTTATTTTAAAATCTTTGCTTTTCTTTTTATCACTTGCTAGTATCTAATATTATGCTATAAAGTGCCTTGTTTAATCTGTTTATTTTTTACTCTTCTTCACTAGAACCTAAGTAGCAAAGTACAGGGCCTTTGTTTTTTCCACTGCCGTATTTTTAGGTGTAGAAAAGTGCCTTGTATAGTTAACCCATGAAGAACACAGGTTTGAACTGTGTGGGTCCACTTATATGCAGACTTTTTTCAATAAATATATTTGAAAAATTTTTGGAGATTTTCAACAATTTCAAAACACCTGCAGACAAACCACAGAGTCTAGAAATATCAAAAAAAAATTTTTAAAGTTAGGTATGTCTTGACTGCATAAAATTTATGTAGATACAAGTCTACTTTATCATTTATTACCATAAAATACACATGAATCTATTATAAAAAGATTTACCAAAACTTCTACACACTTACAGACCACACATGGCACCATTACAGTTGAGAGAAATGTAAACAAATGTAAAGATACAGTATGAAATCATAACTATAACATTTACTGTAGTACATACTGTATTACTGTAATAATTTCATAGCCTCCTGTTGCTGTTGTGGTGAGTACAAGTGTTGCCAGTATCTGCTTAAAACACGGTGTGACACTAATCATCTCTGTGTGAGCAGTTCAGTCTCTCCAAAAAATTGCATATAGCAGTAAAAGTGATCTCTCACAGTTGTTGCTTATTTTTCAATGTGTTTAGTGTAATACTGTAAACCTCCAATAACATTATGGGACCCATACCCATACAAAGTGCTACTCAGTGATGCTGGAAGTGTTCCCAAGAAGCAAAGAAAATCATGACATTACAAGAAAAAGCTGAACTGCTTGATATGTCCCATAGATTGAGGTCTGCAGCTGTGGTTACCTACTGTTTCAAGATAAATGAATCTAGTGAGAGGACCATTGTAAAAAATGAACAGGAAATTTGTGAAGCATTGCTCCAACTACACCTGCATGCACAAAAACCTGGTACTTTGTGTGAAATACTCTACCTTTTCATCTCGTATTGAAAATGCTTTCACGTGGGTACTAGAGTGCTATAAGAAAGGTACGCCTATACCTACAGACTCTGATATGATCTGAGAAAGAGTGAAGTCATTATACAACAACTTAAAGCAAAGGGAAGGTGTAGGATCTAAAGCTGAAGAATTTAATGCAAGCAAAGGATGGTTTGATAATTTTAGAAAGAAGTGTGGCTTAAAAAATGACAAGATAATAGGAAAAGCAGCTTCTGCTGAACAAGAAGCTGGAACCATGTTCCCAGATGCCATTAAGAAAATCACTAAGGGGGGTGCCTGGGTGGCTCAGTCATTAAGCGTCTGCCTTCGGCTCAGGTCGTGATCCCAGGGTCCTGGGATCGAGCCCCACATCGGGCTCCCTGCTCGGTGGGGGGCCTGCTTCTCCCTCTCCCACTCCTCCTGCTTATGTTCCCTCTCTTGCTGTGTCTCTCTCTGTCAAATAAATTTTAAAAATCTTAAAAAAAAAGAAAAAGAAAAACACTGAGGAGGGGTGTCTGGGTGGCTCAATCGTTAAGCGTCTGCCTTCGGCTCAGGTCATGATCCCAGGGTCCTGGGATCGAGCCCCACATCGGGCTCCCTGCTGAACAGGAAGCCTGCTTCTCCCTCTCCCACTCCTCCTGCTTGTGTTCCCTCTCTCACTGTCTCTCTGTCAAATAAATAAATAAAATCTTTAAAAAAAAAAAAAAAAGAAAGAAAATCACTGAGGAAAAAGCATATCTACCTGAACAGGTTTTTAATATAGATTAAAATGCCATATTCTGGGGGGGTGGGGAAATGCCACAAAGGACATTTATTAGTAAGGCAAAGAAGCAAGCCTGTGGATTTAAAGCAGAAGACAGGCTAACTCTGTTTTGTGCAAATGCATCTGGGTTCATGATCAGGACTGCCTATATCTATAAAGCTGCGAACCTTCCATCTTTGAAGGGAAAATATGAATACCATCTGCCAGTCTTTTGGTTGTACAAGAAGGCCTGGACATGGGGCGCCTGGGTGGCTCAGTTGGTTAAGCGACTGCCTTCGGCCCAGGTCATGATCCCGGAGTCCTGGGATCGAGTCCCACATCGGGCTCCCGGCTCAGCAGGGAGCCTGCTTCTCCCTCTGACCCTATCCCCTCTCATGCTGTTTCTCTCTCTCTGTCAAATAAATAAATAAATCTTTAAAAAAAAGAAGGCCTGGACAATGAGAACCCTTTTTCTAGATTGTTTCCATCAGTGCTTTTCTTACTTTAGGGAAAGTAAGAAAGTAATCTGCCTGTAAGGGACTGCCTTTTGAAGTTCTTTTTATATTGGACAATACACCTGGCCATCCAGAACCCCATGAGTTCAACACCAAAGATGTCAAAGTATTCTACTTGCCCCCAAACACAACATCTCTAATTCAGCCTCTAGATCAGGGGATCATAAGGACTTGTAAGGCTCATTACATATTGTCTCTATGGAAAGGATTGTCCAGGCTACAGGAAAGAACCCTGATAGAACATCATAAAAGTCTGGAAAGCTCACACTAGGATACCATTGTCATAAAAAAGGCTGTGAAAGCCATCGAGCCCGAAACAAAAAAATTCCTGCTAGAAAAAACTGTGTCCAGATGCCATCCATGCATGACTTTACAGAATTTACAACACAGCCAGTCAAGAAAATCATGAAAGA